TCTCCCTCTGGAATTCTGTCCTTGATGGAAGGGACCTTGTCATTCCTTCTGCATCCCTGGGGACAAGCACACAAATGCTTAAAACATGTTTCTTGAGTAAAGGTCAAAGGGAAGAGGGAACAAGGTATTTTTCTGACCCACCTTGCCTGAGGGGAATTGGGGGCCCTGCTTTTATTGCGTGCTCAGCTTTTGAGTGAAGCACACTTAGTGCAGTGTCGCCAGGCTGGGCAGGCTGCCCAGGCTAGCACACATTAATTGCTATGTCTCTTGGAGGGACTACTGAGGGTACACAAAGCCACAGTTCTGGAAACTTTAGGAAAATGGACTGGGAGACTTTGGGGAAGGGAAGTGAGAATGCACCCAGAATTGATGCAGATAGCTCCATCGCCGCTTATGAGCTGTGTGTCTGGGGTGGAGGGGTCTGGTGAGGAACCTGGATGAGAGGAATGAGGGGCATCCCATCCCTGGCCCAGATGTGGGTCTGGGGACTATGAACTCTCAGGCCAGACTTCTAGGGGATTTTTTTTTTTTTTTTGCAGTTTTTGGCCAGGGCTGGGTTTGAACCTGCCACCTCCAGTATATGGGGCCAGGCCCTACTCCTTTGAGCCACAGGTGCCACCCAAGGGGACTTTTGGATTTGTGGATGTTTCACCAATGGGGAGAGCCAAAAGGTTATGTCCTGTTTCCTCAGATGCCTTCTTGTTGGTTCTGCAGAGGGTGGTGCTGGAGGAGCTGCAGGGCTCTGGAAGCCAGGGGACTAGAACAGGGGCAGGAAGAAATATGCTCAAATCCATACAAGGAGCACCAGGACCCTGGGGAAAAGCCCTGTGCTGTTCCCTCTCCCTTGGGTTCAGTGGTAACTGTCTAAACAGACCGTGCACAGCCAGGCTTGCCAGAACAGTGCTTACAAATGTCTTCACACAGATGGGTGGATTTGTAACAAGCAAGTCATACTACTTTACTGACAACTACCTGGCTTATAAGCAGAGGGGACTGGGCCTTGGGGAGGGAGTGTGAGATCTGGGGTAGAGGCACTGGGAGGAGGGCCTAGTGCTGAATCCTGAGGAGGAAGGGCCCTTCCTCCTGTCCAGGCTCATATCCTAGAGCCCTGTGTCCTCCTGGGACTGAGCAGCTGACTTGACAGCTGAGCCCTGTTGGCATTTGGAAGGGTCAGGAAACCAGGGGGCCTGCTCCTGCCCTTGCCTTTTCTGAGGCAGTGGTCACCACAGAGAGGGCCAGTCACTAGCCACCAAAGAGTAACACTCCCAGTCCCACCAAGCTTGAAGAGATGGGCTGATTCTCAAGTCACAGAAGCCATTTGTCATCCTACTTCTGGTTTCTGAAAGGATGAACTCAGGGTTTGGCTTTCTTTCTGCCCCCATCTGGAATCTAGACTAAGGGGAACCCTAGCCAAGGTGGGGGGACACTTCCAATAACAACAGCCTATCATGGCAGGGTGCCTCCCCTATCCTCCAGGTGTCCGGCCAGTACTGGGATAACCAATCCCAGGAGGGGGAAGCTCTCCAGGTGTAAGGACAAAGGCAGAAGAACTTCACAGCACGGAGAAAGGAGAAAGGGAAGGACTGATAAGGTGTTGATAAAATAATTCAAGGAGACCAATGTCATTTAACATATATTTATTGAAATCTACTTGATGCAAGGCACTGTGCTAGATTGGGTAGGGATCAGACATGAAGGGCCACCCCTGTCTTCTAAGAGCTCACAATCTAATGTGTGGGGGAGGGCAAGGAAGGGGAGGGGAGAAGCCAAGTCCGCAACAGCTCTAGTGCAGGGCTGAGCATACTGAGAGTCGTAAAACAGACAAAGTAAGAGATTAGGGTGGAACAAGGAAAGAGCCCAAGGACTGAAATACAAACTGGGGTGGGACGTAGCTACTTTTCTCAGGAGATACGCAAATCACATTGAGGGCTAAGTTTAAAGAAAGTTTCTATTTTTGAAAAGTAAACACCCAAACAGGCTCAATGAGAACCACAGAATGTAAAGTCTAATAGGAAGAGAGAAGTTAGCAATTCTCGCATCTAAGGGCGTGCTGGAATAAACAGTAACACTTCTGAAACAGGGGGAGGGTGGCTGCGACTTAACTCACTTTATAGGCCTAACAAGGGTTCAGCAAACAAGCGACACTGGGACAGAAAAGCACTGGTGAAACTCACTGAGGCAAGGTGGCATAGCTCTCTACCATTTTAGCTAACAATACAGCCCCACATTTAGACAGGTGTTCATAACAGCCAGGTGCAACATGGGCAGGAATGCTGGTGGGCAGAACCCAAGACAGCCAGCATTGGTGGTATTATCTGCACCAGCTGAATGGTAAAGTGCAGTTGTCTCGTGACAAGCTGCAAAGAACAGCTCAAGCTGGCCCAAGTCAAGGTGGTCTACCGTGGGCAAACATGTGGACTGATGAGGGCAGTCACCAGAAACCCAAGGACTTGACCCTGCTAGGCCTCCCTTGGGGAGCTGGGATGGAATCAGCCCAGGGAACCCAGCAGGGGCCCCGGATCTTCAACCCCTTTCAGCAGCACATGGCTCCCCACCCCCGTTTTTTGGCAGTCATGAGAGCTGCTCAGCTGCTCAGACCTAAAGGTCCTGTCTCCCGCCAGCTCTGAGGACTGGCCAGTTGATGCTCTTGGGTCAGGTGTTCTGTTCTGATTTAATTAATGTGGCCTAGAAGAGGGTGGCAAGTCACATGGTACACAATAGAGCCACAGCTTAGGGTGGCAGACAGGGCACACACTGTGCCACTTCTAGCAAAAATCAAGCACATAGAATGCAACACCACACAAGAAGGATGCCATTGTGATTGGGCAGGGATTATTCTGGAAATGCAAGAGTGAGGATGATGCAAGTAATTGATGTAGTTAATCATAGAAAGCAGCAAAAAAGGCAAACAATTACTTTCTATTGTAAATTTCACCAAGTATTCAGAACGGTAATAAAATCAATGGACACCTGCATTCTTAACAAGAAAAGAACATATTTCTAGCAGAAGCCAGTGTCCCCTGCAATAGGAACACATGTGATTAGAAAGAAAACAAAATGAGGTAGATGCATGAATGTATAGACAGAGACACACGACAGGAAGCCTGGTCACATTTCGCACCTGACATGGCAGTATACCTAGAGAATTCAAGGAAATCCACCCTCAAGTTATCAGAGGCAACAGATGAACTTGGTGAAACTACAGGACACACAGTAAAGCCACAAACTGCATTTGAAGGGAGCACAAATTCCACCAGACACCCAGAACGCTAGCTGTTCTGTCAACTGTGACAGAAAAGACATGATCTTTAGTGTTAACTCTAAAAGAGGATTTGTTTCAGAGAAAATTATAAAACCCCAATTGGGAAAAAGTCAGGGAGGGCAGGAAGGGATGTGAAGACACCACGTCCTGGCTGGAAGTAGTAATGGCTATGTTATGTTCTGAGTTAATGTTGTCCCTAGATGTCAATGGGATCCTTCATAAAACCCCAGAAATAAAGAGTGAACAGGTAGGAAATGGCAGAGAACTTTAGTAAAGGCACCAGACCTGGCCCTGGTAGATGCCAACGTTCTTTACCAATGACAGCTGTACAAAACACAGAACAGCTTTTCAGAACAGCTTGAAAAGACAGAACTGATCAGAGAAGGTAGTCACTTCAGACAGATTTACAACTACTCCAACAACTGAGGCCCAAGGAGCAAAAGGAATCACTATGTAACAAGTGCTGCTGGCTTCTCTCCAGCCTGGTGGTCAGGATGGAGATGTCGCACAGGTCCACTGTGGTGGCCTGGGGGCCATTTGTAAGGACCTCTGGCTGAGGTCATAAGGGTCATTGTTGGACCTTGCTTCCAAGGAAGAGGGCCTGAGAAGTCCTTGCAGGTTGTGCCTGCTGCTGAGCCTGGTGGCCTGGCAGGAAGGCACACCTTCCCTCCAGGGTCTTTACAGAACCCCAGGCACAGGTGCTGGGAATGCAGCTGCAGGCCTGGTGAGACCTCCTTCTATCTGTGGCCTCTATCGGCCACTGGGGGAACCAGGTTCTGTACCAGCCCTTGCAGCAGTTCCTCCTGGGGAGGAAATGACAGCCCAACCTCAAGGTGACCAGCTCCTATTCTGTGCCACACAGGCTGTCAGGAGGGCATCATTGCCCTCCACACATTTGCTTTAATGTCCCTCCTGGGCATGGCTACTGCATGTCATAGCACAGGCCTAGTACAGCCAGCTTCTCCAGCATGACACATAGGCTACCCGAGTGACATAGCTCTTCTCTAAGCCTCTGCTCTGTTGCCATTCCTAGGTGTGGCTACAGGAAGTTATGCCACAACATGTGGATGAATTGTCCTTTAGGTGCTCAAAGCAGAAGCCACCAAACAGATCTCTTTCCAGCTGCAGAGTCATTGGCTGGGATGAGGAAGTGGTCCATGTGACATCAGTCAGGCGCATCTTCTGTGCCCAAGATATTTCTTGGGTGCAGCTGCTGCTCGGCCACTGAATCCACACCAGGCACTGCCAAGGCTCTCAGGAGCTTGAAGAATGGCCGGGCTGCTCCCAGACCAAGTTTGGACCATCCCATTGAGCTGGGTGAGGACAAGCCCTGCTGTAGGCTGCTGGGCTATACCGAGGAACCGTCACAGAGTATTCTGGCCAATCTGTGATGGAAGCACCTCTAGTGTGCCTGAGTGGCCAGGTTGGATAGTCAAGTGCTGCCCAAAGATATACATGGAATCTGCATCTTGGATAAGGGAAGAGCCCAATTCTCTGGCTTATTCCCCTCCAGTCTGCCCACCTGGTGCATTCACCTTCTGATGGGCAGGGGTTTCAATTTTTTGTTTGTAATTAAAGTTCTAGAAGAAAATGTCATCAAATCTAAGTATAAGAAGCAATGAAAATTATGAACAAAAAAATGAATGCTTGAATATGTAAAAATTAACAGCTTATACAACAAAATGTAATAAAATTGCTACAAAGAGCAAAGCAATAAAATTGGAAAAGAGAACATCGTAGTCAATAGAGAAAGAGCTGATATATAAAGTCAACATGTCCAAATGTAACCTGATAACTAGTCAAAGGAGATGAACTTACAATCTGCATGCAAGAAAACTGAGATGGTGTTCAAGTCATCACATGAGAGAAAGAGGGTAAGACTAGCAGTCAGGAGGGCTGGTACTAATAAACCTTAGAATGACAGCAATAACTATGACAATGACAGCAGATGGCCTTCAATGAGCATATGCCTCCATGTTCTGCAGGCACGATGCAGTCTTTAGGAGGTAAGTGCTATGATGACCCCTGTTTTACAGAGTTGGAAACAGGGCTGGGGAAGTACCATTTAGGCCTTATTTCCAAAAAGGAGGTGTCACCTTATATGTGAGTACTTGAGACTTATCTCTTATTGGGGGATGAGCTCAACTACTTCATTTAGAACAAAATGCTGCTGCTGAGGACTAGATTCATTAGTCCAAGACAACCCCAACTGATGCTAGTTTTGGATATGTATAAGGGTTAGTAGATTGAACTGGTTTAAGAAGAAAGGACACAAGACATTAGTATACACTCAGTCATCAGTAGGAATATGACCTTGCAATGGTGGTTTTATAAAAAGCCTTGGAAAGGTCATCTGAGAAAGAACCCGAGTGCTTATATCATAGAGTTACAGGGCAAGGTAAAAGTTGTTCTAATGTTATGTGAATATGCTCTTATGGCTTGGGAGGACATCTGTAGTGAAAGCCTCATGCAGAGATTGTCACGGTGCTACTGTGTGCAATTTGGATCCAAGTCACTGAATGTGCTTTGACACTGTCTGATGAGGGTCTCCCATGCTGGTGAAGACAGTGAGGTCAAAAATGCACATGAGGAGTTAGAATAAAATGATTTCATGAAACAGAATGTGGCAAAAGGAGTATTTTCTAAATTAATATATTATTCTATATGTGATTTATAATAGGCAAGTATAACTAAATTAATAAATTAAATATTACAAGACATTTGAGTGTTCTACTTACACGCCTAAAAATTTCTAAATTCAAGTGGGCTAAGATGCTTCAGGGTGATCTCTTGGGGAAAGCAGGGGTCATATTATATTGGTCCCTCGGTGGAATAGCTGTGTGTGTGTTTCCCTGGCAGGGGAGCATGTCCCCTGCTCCACCTGTACATCTGGCCTTCTCTTCTCTCACTCTGGGATTCAAGCCATGCAAATTTCAATACCTTGATGATACTTTCTGCCAGTGAAACTAGCCAGACTAAGTTTAAAATGGAAAAGCTATCTTTGAGGGCCATCATGGGGAACAATCAGAAATTGCTGGTGGCGGTATAAATTGGTCTCAACCTAGTGGACGACAAAATAACTAAGTACTACAAAACTGTTGATCTCCTTTGACTCTGCCATCCCCTTGGGGCCTGTCTGGCTGCTGCCCCGGGCTCCTCTACTCCTGGTGGGTAGGCTGGTGCTTCTGTAGCGCTGAGCGCCTCTTGAAGACACGGCCACACTCGCTGCACTCGCAGCACCGCGCCCCACTGTGGATCCGCCGATGGCGGCTCAGGCCTGAGCTCCTGCGGAAAGCCTTGCCGCACTTGTCGCAGGCATAGGGCTTCAGTCCGCTGTGGATGCGCCGGTGCTTGATGAGATCGGAGGGCCCGCGGAAGGCCTTGCCACACTCTCCACATGCATAGGGCCGCTCGCCGCTGTGGATGCGTGCGTGCTCCAGCAGGCTGGAGCTCTGGCGGAAGGCCTTGCCGCATTGGCCACAAGCATAGGGTTTCTCGCCAGTGTGGATGCGCCGGTGTTTGGTGAGCTCTGAGCTCCGGCGGAAAAGCTTGCCGCAGTGGGGGCACCCATACGGCTTGGCCCCGCTGTGGATGCGCTGGTGCTCGGCCAGCCCATTGACCCCTCGGAAGGACTTGCCGCAGTCGTCGCAGTCGAAGGGCAGGTGGCCGGTGTGAACTCGCTGGTGCTTGAGCAGTTCCTGGCGATCCAGGAAATCCCTGCTGCACGTCTTGCAGGCGAAAAGCTTCTCTGCATTGTGGATCTTCTGATGCCGGAAGAGATGGGTGTTGACTTTGAAGGACCGCCCGCACTCCTCACAATCAAACGGCTTCTCCCGGCTATGCACCCTCAGGTGCTGACTGAGGCCTGCGTTCTTCTTAAAGCGCTTCCCGCACTCCTCACACTCAAAGGGCTTCACCTCCAGCTCCATCTGCCCCCTCTTCTCTCCTGCACCTTCCAGGGCCTGACTCGGACCAGGCCGGGGCTCTGCGGTCACATGGCTCTTCCTGTGCTCATTAAACTCTGACACCCCCCTGAACACCTTCCCACAATCGCTGCATTCCCAGCCCTTCTTCTCACTGTGGACTCTCTGGTGCTGAACGAGGAGGACTTTAAGCCGGAAGGTGTCCCCACACTCTTTACATGCAAAATGATGTTCTATGGGCAGGTTCTGTGGGCTCCCACCCCTCCCCTCTGAGTCCCCGTTCTGTTTGACCTCAGGGGTAGGCTCAGTGGCTCTCAGGGAGCTTGTGGAGGCCATCTCCTGTGGCTGGGTGCCTTCCCTCTTTGTCTGGTGCTGAGCCACCAAGGTGTTTTCTGAAACGATAAACACAAGACACTGCAGTCTGCACAGGACAAAGGAAGGAGGCTCATCTCCCAAGCGGAGGATCCTCTTCCTCCTGACACACTGCTGCCTAAGCCTGGAAGCAGCAAGGGGCAGAAGGCCTGATTCCTGGATACTCCCTGCTGAAGTGGTCCTGAGGAGGACCTCCTCCTGTGATGGGCCTCCCCTCCCTACCCTGAAGCCCCCCAGAGCTCAGCCAGTCCTCCCAGTTCTAACCCCACCCCCACAACAGCTTGGTTGGGCCTACTCTCCACCTGGGATTTCTGATATCCTCACATTTCCTTGGGTTTCTTTTTTACTTACCAGAGTACTTAGCTGGCTCCATGTCGATGGAAATGTCTGATACCAATAGCACCTGTCCTTGTGCCAGATGATAGACCAAGGCAGTATTCAAAACAGGAATTCCTGCCCACAGAAAAGGAATGGGACAGCCAGAGATGACATCAGAATGGTGGCAGAACAGGGGAACCCCTTCAGTCCTCAAAAGATCAGGCTGGCTATGACCTCAGTCATTCTATTCAGTCTTAGTCCAAATGCATTTCCTAAAGTTTATGCCTTCCCGGAACTGGAGAAAGGCAGGCTACGGGCCCACCTGGGGAGCTAACCCCCATCGTACCTTCTCCTTGTGTACCCCTTTGGTGTGCACACATCAGACTTCTTGCTTTTCCCAGACCCACAGACTTCTACACCTTCAAAAAGTCTCCTCTTAAAAATCCTCCTGACCTTGCATATGTAGACCCTGAGGGGTGAGCAAGAACTTGATCTTGTCAGCTTATCTCAAAAGAAATTCAAGTCAAATGGCTGGGTATTCTATATTACAGTGGCAAGTTTATTCCAATTTCCTTTCCAATAAAAGACCAAGGCGGGGTTCTTTCTATGCCATGAGGGCTTACTTGAGGGGAACTGTGCCACTCTGAGATGCCAGCTGTGGCAGACCCTTTGTGCTTCCCCACACTCCAGGGACAAGGTGAGCTTATATGGGGCTAGCCAAGTGTCCCCACCCCACCCACAGTAGATGACAAATCTGGGGAAGGGTTAGGGGCATCCTTACCCAGGGAGGTCACGTTCCCATAATATGCCAGTGCCCTCTGCTCAGGGTCCAGCCTCAGCCACTCCCTTTTGGTGAGGTACCATGCCACATCGTCAGATGTCACCAAATCCTGAAAGAGTTCCCAAGGATAATCAGTCTTTCCATTTATTCTAGAATGAGACAGGGACAAGTACCAGTGACACCAGGGATAAGAGGTTAAGGGTCTGGAGTGGGTTATGTGTTGCTAACATGGATATCTGACCATAAGTTGCAAGAAATCTTGAAAAGAGAAACTGATCAAGTGCCAGGAGACATGGGCTGCAGCTCTGGGCTCCCACTGTCTTTCCAAGGGACCTCAGTTCAATCACTTTCCTGGATGGGAATTAAGCTCCCCAATCTGGATGATGGGAAGTCCAAGCCCAGTGGCCATCCATTTCTTGGCAGCCTTCAGAAGAGAAGCCGAGGGAGGGCAGGAAGGTAGTGGCTGGGGGTCACAGTCTGCTGTGTGTCCTGCTGGGGCAAGAGGTAGAGGCTGAGGCCAGAATCAGGGAGCAGTGACAGATTCACAAGCAAGGCAGAAGGAAGCACACTTTGCCTGAGCCTCTGGCATCTCAAGAGGGACTGCCAGAACCTGGTTTACCGGGGCTCCGTCCTGGGGAAAGGCAAAACCTTGGGGAGCAAAGTAGAGCTAAGGAAACTGAAAAAAGCCATGAGTGACAATAGTTCTGTCTCTGGGTCCCTTGGGAAGAGACTAGCAATTTCCTTTTAGATCTTGCAGAGTATTCTCTCACATGCTGCCTGAGTGGCAAGCCAGAGCATGGGCATGCCTGAGAAAGTAAACCTCCAATAGGGGGAAAGGCAAAGACAGAGGGAGCCACAAAAAGACCGGTATTTGCCAGCCAAGGCACAACCAAGAGAAGACAGATGGAGAGAGCCAAAGGTAGGGAGACAGGCTCTTAGAGACAGGCCAGCCATAGGTCTCTTGATAGCAAGCCTCAAAGAGGTCCATGTTCACATCAAAAGTTATGAGAAGAAATAATCTGCAAATGAAATAGCCTTTCCAACTTCACAGAGGCAACAAAAAACTAGATCAGGCCACTGGAGGGAAGAGAGGCAACAAAGGGCTGAAACTGGGGCTTCCTGACCTGCAGTGAAGCCCTTAAAAGCCGCACTCCACTGAAATACTGCTCCATGTAATAGCCAGACAGTTACAGGTGACAACATTTCTCTAACATACTCAACAAAATGAAATGTTGAATAAAACAGCTAGAAAAATAAGCCTCAGAGATAAAACCTTCAAACACTAAATTGCTAAATAAAAGATCTGAATGATCTGCACAAGTTATCTTTTTCTCCCAGATTGCAAAGTGTGTGAAATATTATAAGATCCTACCACAGACATCTTTGCACCATAGGCTCCCACTTCAGCAAGTTCAAAGAAACAGTTACATAGCTCCTGTTGTGATGTCAATTCAACTGAAATTCAAGTCAAATGAAAAGGAGGCCTTTTGACACTAGCTCAAGAACCACAAAACCCAGATACTCCAGAAAGACTTTTACATAAAATTAAAGATGTTATGTTAAAAAGGATTGATGGAACTGTCCACTTATGGCTGTGATGGAGTAACAAGGACAGGAGGAAGCACAGCATCATGATTCACCACGGAAATCCAGAAACAAATGAGGTGAGCCCAACCATCACCCCAGCTCTCTGCCTGAGGGCAATTTCCAGATCCAGAGTATAGGGAGGGAGGAACCAAACAGTGCTTAGAGGCTTCGCCAAGTCAAGGAGCCACAGACCAGCATTCAGAGCAGCTGAGGCAGCTGGAAGGTTGCAGTGCAGAGTTCCAGAAAGGAGTGAGTTATGCAGAAAAATGAGTTTTAAAAATATGCATAGGCTCCCCTTGAGTCTTTCCTGACTGCTAATTCATGCACACATAGAGTGAAACTCCAAAGCCTGGGAAAAGAATGACCAGGAAGCTGTAAGCTGAACCATTCCCAGGACACAGAAAGGTAGGGAGATGTTGAAGGTCTGACCAGCCAGCATTGAGTGTCTTCTGTTGTCATCAGGGACATTCAACAGAGAATCCAGAGAGGTCACGTCTTAGTAGTAAGGCTGATCTATTCTTAGAGCCAGGGTCTTATAAGACCTTTAAAAAGCTTAAAAAGGGATCAAATTGATCCACAAATAACTATCCTACCACTCAAAGTCCAGACACTCAACAACATAATATTTATAATGTCTAATATCCAACCAAAAATGATTGAAATGCCATGAAGCACAAAAATATGACCCATGGCAAGAGTGACAGAACTCACAAACAGGGATAATAGCCAGTTTAACTATAATATGCCCAAGTATCGAAAGAAAAACAGGAATATAATGAGAGAAGTAAAATATATTAAAAAAAAACAAATACAAATTTTGGAGGTGAAAACTATAATATTTAAAATGAAAGTTTCACTAGATACTAACAGCAGATTAAATACCACACAAAATAAAAAGTTAGAGAACTGGAAGACATAGCAATAGAAACTATTTCAAATGAAGCTCAGGGAGGATAAAAGCTTTTAGAAACAAACAGTATGCCTATGGCCTGATGATAATATAAAGTGGTCAAACACCCATGTAACTGGAATCTGAGACAGTAAAGAAAATGGGGAGGAGTATTGGACAGATAGTTGAAGAAGCAATGGCTTGAAAATTTTCCAAATTTGATGAAAAGTATAAATTTATACATCCAAGAAGCCCAGCCCCTAGCAAGATTTTTTAAAAAGATACATCATAACCAAATTTCTGAAAACCAGTGATAAACTAAAGTAGCCAGAGGAAAGAAATGCTACTGCTGTGTACAGAGGGACAAAGATAAGAATAACTCTTGAATTCTTATCAGAAAGTGTGCAAGTCACAAAACAAGTGAATGACATTTTTAAAGAGCTAAAAAAATACCCATTAACCTAGAATTTTACATTCAAGGAAAATAATCTTCAAAAATTAAGGGAAAATAAAAATGATTTCAGACAAAAGCTTAGATGATTCATCAAAAGCAGATTAGGCTGGGCACAGAGGCTCATGCCTGTAATCCTAGCAATCTGGGAAGCCAAGGCAGATAGATCACTTGAGCTCAGGAGTTCAAGACCAGCCTGAGCAATAGTGAGACCCTGTCTCTACTAAAAATAGACAAATTGAGGCAAGAGGATCACTTGAGCCCAAGAACTTGAGGTTGTGGTAAGCTATAATGCCACAGCATTCTAGTCAGGGTGCCAGAGTGAGACTCTGTCTCAAAAAAAAGAAAAGAAAAAAGAAATATTTAAGGAAGTTTTTCAGGTACCGTGTTTCTCTGAAAATAAGACACTGTCTTATATTTATTTATTCTCAAGAAGACACACTAGGGCTTATTTTTCAGGGATATCTTCCTCTCCACACCAAAATGCATTGCATATATCTGCATAGCCACGCCCATCACTAGGTTTTATTATCGGAGTAGGGCTTATATTTAACAAATGCATAGAAATCCTGCTAGGGCTTATTTTTTGGGTAGGTCTTATTTTCGGAGAAACATGGTAGAAGGAAAATGATACCAGATGGAAACTTGAATCTACACAGAGGCACGAACACCAGGAATGTAAAAATGTAGGGAACTATAAAACACTCTTATCCCCTACCCCCATATTTACCGGTGATCTTAGCCAAAAGGCTGAGAAGTGATCCCCCTAATTTTTACACCTTTAAAAAACAACTGACCATTTAATATAAAAATAGTAACAAGGTAGTATGTGGTTTATAACATATGTAGAAGTAAAACATATGATTGTATGTTTTGGTGAGCCCTCTAAGACTTTCATACACGCTAATAAGCCAAGAGTAGAGATAAAATGCATACTAAAAATAATCCAAAAGAAGAAAAGCAAAGAGAAAGAAGAAAAAAGAACAGATGGGGCAAACAGAAACAAACAGCAAGATGGCTGGACTAAACAATCAAAAAGCAGAGGGTGAAAAAACAAAGCAGAGGTTGTCAGACTATTAAAAAAACAGGACTCAATTATATGTTATCAAGAAACTTCAAATATAAAGACACAGATATATCGAAAATAAAGGATGGAAAACAATATACTGTAACTGATAGAATGAGCTCTAAATAATCCTAAAATCATAAAAATGGGGGAGAGGATAAATGAACAATGTGGCTCAGAGCTCTGACATCTCCACTGGAGAATCCTAGAACTCATAGCAGGAAGAAATTGGAGGATTTAAATATAAAACCAATTGGTGGCCAATGTAGGATGATGTGTGGCAGATTACAAAAATGTGAATCCTCTGTAGAAGGTACAGAGGTAATCACTCTTGATTTAAGGGGATGGGAAGGGGAGAAGATGGCTAAGTAGGTATTTGCATTTTAGGAGAAAAAAGGAAAAAACTGAGAATGACTTGTAGCTTGAATCAGCACATCTGTACTTTAATGTGTGTGTGACCACATAGGGTCAAGGTCTAGAAAGGTCTGCTTTCTGTTTCTGTAACGAGGGAAATTTTAGTAACCAAGCTGAATTTCATTGGTATCAGAAAAGAGCAAAAATTTTAAAAGAGTTTTGGTAGACTTTGTTTTTTTTCTCTAATCCAGTGGTTCTCAACCTGTGGGTTGCGACCCACAGGAACTGTATTAAAAGGGCCATGGCATTAGGAAGGTTGAGAACCACTGCTCTAATCCCATGACAGATTAGATCTTGGTAGACTTAGGATAAGAAAGATGCCCAGCATCTAAGAAGACAAGGGCTGTGGCCAAGGAGACAGGGGTTAGATCAGAAGACTGGCACTTTCAGAATCCCCATATGGGAGAGGCAACTGCAGGGTAGAGGGCTGGAAGGAGCAGTCCATGAAGGGTAATGATCAGAAAGTCTAGAGATAGGACCATAGGGTTGTGCCTTGGGTCCTCCCTCAAGCTATCAGCACCTTGGACTGGTGTGGGCAGAAGCTCCATCTGACCCCAAAGCCCACAGAAGCCCTGTTGCCACCATTAACTGGCTGACAGGCATCAAATGTGAGTTAATCTCCAGTGCTCAGCAGCCAAGCCCTCTCTGTGCCCCACTGTCACCTAGGCAGAGCCCTGCTGGCCCAATGGATTCTTCCTGGAATTCTCATGTCTGGTTTGAATCTGCCTTCCAATACAAAGTGAACTGGTCATGAATTAGTTATAAATTTTGTTAAAAATTCACTTCCAATTGATACTGATGATTGGTTGCCAAATGGAACAGGAAAAGGGACATTGTGTACGTACCTTCTGAGAAAGGTGACCTGTTACAGACTGTTTCTCACTGCCCTCAGGCCAGAAGCCTAATGCTTTAACCCTTCTGCAAGTTCTAGCCCAGCCCATCAATCCCTTTCCCTGCCCCCCTCCACATCCCAGTTATATCCAGATACATGGGTTTTCATTCAGTCCTAGATAGGGCATGGCTGTGACCCTTAAGGCCACCCAAACCTTCCCTGGATACCATCCCTATGGCTTATTGTAGGAACCTCCTTCTAAGAATTTAGGCCTCAATTCAAATGTCACCTCCTCAGCCCCAACACTAACTAAAAGCTACCCTGTGAATGTGATGGCTCCCACCTGACCTTCCCCAGGACAAGTGTCAGCTCCCAAAGGCCAGGGCCTCTTTCTTGGTTAACCCCAAGTCCCCAGTGCCTACAGCAGCTACTGGTACCGAGTGGGCATGTGACGAACTGCGGGGCAATTGAATCAATGTATGTGGAGAGGGCGTGGCAATGGGAGCATTTGCTACATGTGTTTTGAGAGGCATGTCTCCCCTGGCACCATCCCATAATGGCAGCCTGTGGTCATCACCACCTGTGTTTTACAGAGAAGGAGGCCATGGCTCCAAGAGGCTCACTTGCTTAGTGTCCAGCTGCCAAGATTTCAGACTTTTCCAACCATACCAGAGAAGACAGAAATAATATATAACTGTATACTAGAAGACAGACTGGCAGTGAGTGTCATCTAAGCAAATGGTATATATGGATGTAACACAGACACAGCATTCTCGTTCTCTCTCACACATATGCATACACTTCTTCCAAGCCACCCACATTTAATTGAGCAAATCTTCCTGAAGAGTTCATTTGAGCAAATCCTATCAAAATGTTTTTACTTAATTGGCATGATTAACTGCTGAAATCCTAGAGTCACAACCCCCAAATGAGTTGTTAATTATCCTTTCTTGGGTAGTGGCCCTTCCTGTACCAGATCACCCAGGGGACTTAGTGTGAGATTGCCTCAGCTCTCAGTGGCAGTGTGAGCACCACACTCAGTGACAGTAGCCCATGGACATATAGACATTTAGAAAGCACTCATAAAAACACAGGGAAAAAGTGGGCTGTGCTTTCATAAAAGGAAGCTAAATTCTGCATAACTAGCCAAGTGTATCAGGTGAACAGCTTCAGGAGAAGCAAAGGAAGCTTGTTAAGAAAGACAATACATTGAGTCCTCTGAAGTTAAAACTAAAATTATCACCAAGCCCAGAGACTGTGGGGAAATTTAGGATCTATGTTGCACAACTGTTCCATTTTAAAATGGCAGAACTAATCAAGAAAAGAAGCTGGATGCTGTGACCAAAGTGACAAACACAGGTATCCATTGCCTTCCAAAAGTGGATCTTGGGGAACACAGGTCAGAGCAATTCCAGACAGAGCACAAAAATCATTGTGATGCACCTAATGAACACACAGGGTAATGTCAGTCACAGCAGAAAAGCATGCCCCATATCTCATATTGTGCATACCTCTACACAACTGGAAAAGGGAAGCTGGGAGAAATACTATGGGAAAATAAATATCCAACTCTTATGTAAATAGTGCTATCCTCCTTCTTGAAATGAGCCTGAACATAGTTTAAAGTCTGTAAACTCCCAGACAGCAAAGGCCCTATCAAGGTCAAATGTGGATGCCACATTAGATCTAGCCAGGCACCATGTACAATGCAGCTGTTTAACAAACATCTGCTGCTAGAATACGTGGAAAATAATGATGTCAATGTTAATCAAGAGCCTGGCAATTTGAAAAATTATGCATTTTAACACATGGGTGCTCATGTGAGTAAGCAAATCTTCCCACTATGTGTGGTAAGATCATAATGTAAAATTTAACCAACTTATTTAAATCCAATTTACTACATGGACTCAGAAAGATTAAGAGACCCAAAATAATCATTTTGCTTTGATCTGAAAGAAGAGAAATAAAGAGCTTGACTTAAAGGAGCCAAAAACCATCCCACATCACAAAAAGTGGTGGATAATTACATGTTTTCTAGTCACCTTTGAACTTAGGACTTCTCTTCCCCTCAAGGAAGTCTAGTTACTACTAAAGGTAGCTTCTGAGCCTAGAAGATCAGCATTCAACTGATTCTATTGCATAAATAGCCAAGCAATCTCTGACAGGTACCATCGTTCCTTGGGCATTGGGGTTGGGAAGAGGTAGCAAGATGACCCAAATAAGACCTATCTGGCAGGTTCTAGAAACTTCCAAGGGCTTCTGAAAACCACCTGGACTCCCTCAAGCATCTAAATAAGAACCTGCAGCAGAATAGCCTCAGGCTCCAAAGTTTCAGTTTATCCAGAAGACAACAGGTGGCTTGAGATGTTTATTTCAATTCTGGGCCAGAGCTAATATTCCCTACAGGGTATCTTTATAGTTTTCCACTCATAAGAGATCTCCCTCAGATGAGTGCCCTCAGCTCCCTTACCCATCTAAATGTCTACCTGGATTCAGTTCTCCTTACTGAGTATCTTTCACCCTGAGTTGTGTTGCTTGGACTGAGATAACTGTCTCTGGGTAAAGACAGTTCAGGAACACTGAAATATATGAAAATATAAGTGCTTCCTGAACCAAAATGATATTCCTTAACATCTTATATCCCTATCCATAGGATTTCCTAACAGTGCGGCCAGCAGACACTCAAGACTTACCCAAAAGAGATGCACAGGGATGACTCATCATGGCTTGGAATGATTCTCACAGATTAGTCTTGCAGGTAAGGTCCCACCTGTTGGATTGAAGTAATTCAGGTGAACAGGAGCAGCACCTTTTAGGAATCTGTCCTCTGGTGTAGTGAACGACCAGCTGAAGATCCCAATGCATTCCAGCTGGGCCAGGATATAACTCCCCAGCCACCCCCACATCAGCTGACCTGGCCTTTATGCTCCCTCACCAGGAGGTGGAAGCAAAAGACCCACTCTGCACTGTTTGCTGCTACTCGAAGTAGCAAAATCCTGAAGGGCCAAAAGAGAGGAAGTCTCACTAGGAAAGTCTGTTTCTCTCAGGGTATTTGTATCTGTGTGTGTCTTTTTCTGTGTGTGTGGGAAGGAAGGCATCTGTTCCTCTCTCACTTTGCTTGGGTACCTGTCTGTCTCTGTTTAGGTTTCCATCTTCTTTCCCTTCTATAAAAAGCCAGAAGGTAGACCAGAAGGGGATTTTGTAGTTTGTTGTACTTAATTGAGGAAAGGTTTATGTACTCATTTCTTCAAGATGCATGGCATCTTACAAAAAATCAAAATAAATTGTAAGTATAGCTCTTTTTAGGTTACACTGACTGGACATAAGATTCTAAATTGGGGATGGGGTGGGATGGTATGCTAGTAGCAAGGAGGCCCAGGCCATGTAAGGAACCTAGGGAAGTTAGGCAAGGGCTGGATCATTGGGTTGGAAATCTAGTTCAGAGTTCACTAAGAACTCAAGCGGCAGAGTGGCCGGGCTTGGTGGGGCCAAGGAATCTGCATTTTCCACAAACACCCTAGAAGATTATGATGAGGGGCTCTACTTCCTTAACACTGAGTTGTTCTAGAATCTGAAGGTTCACTCATCTCCAGTTCTCATCAGACAGAATTCCTGCCCAGGAGCATACTGAAATAGGAGCCTACTCTATGAGTCAGTGCTAATGGTCAGAAGAGAATTCACACTTTCTAGCAAAATCAGCGCACAACAGAACTCTAAATATAGATTCAATAACATTTTGGGGGAATGTTGAACTGTGCCAGACGTTGCAAGTTAATTCTACTTTAAAGGCCTGGGGGGAGGGGAAGCCTTAGTACCTAGAGGAGGGGCTGTTCCAGCAATCCCATCTGAAATCCTCTTGTAAAGGAGAAATGTAGGGGCTGAGGTTGAAGAGGAATGTTTCACTGACCAAGGAGACTGGAGAGGGCCGCTGGCCCAGCTAGGCCAAGGCTGGCTGGAGGGTGTCAGTTGGAACAGGGTGGGTCCCTCTGGGAACAGGGCCAGGAATGGGGGGGGTTGAAAGGGACTATGGGCTTTGGGCAGCACGCAAGTGGGGAGTGTATGGAAAAAGACATGTAATGAATCACCCAAATACAGAGTGGAGGAGCCAGCAAAAGAGTTTAATGGGGGGAGCACTGTAGCAGGACACTTTGGCCCCAGGACGGCGAGAGAAAAAGCCCTGTTCAGACAGAGGGCCCTGCACTGGCCTTCGCATAGTACAAGGTCTCAGGATCTATTTGCCCCCAATCACCCCATCAAGCTGAGGTCTGACGCCCACCTGAAAGCAAAGGAGGAACTCCTTGAGCAGGAACTATCCCCAGCTTGCTATCCAGTGCCCCAGACTGGGGAAAAGTCTGTTAATCATCATCCCCCCACAAAGCCCCCTCAGCCTCCTTTGCCCTTAGATGGGGGTCCTCTCTTTCTGCCCCTGACTGGGTCCCAGCCCCTAGCGTCCCCCAAAGAGCAGAGCAGGCCTCTGCACGTCCTGGATTGCCGCACATGACCGCCGCCCCCTGCCCGCCACAGGAAGGCCTTGGGGCCTCATATTACTGTCATCCCAGACCCGTCCCCCTCTCTGGCCAGCTTCAAGGCCTAGCAGCTTCCCACAGGCCCAGAGACGCCCGACCCCACCGCACACTCTCTTGTAGCCCTCACATTCACTCTAGCCTCGCACACACTCCCGCGTCCCCTTGTACATCCTCCCGCGGCCAGCACACTCACTCTGGCCGGTACAGCCTTCTGCTGCCCTCGTGATCACCACGGCCTCGCACTCTCTCCCGCACCACCCACAATCCTCCCGTGGCCCGCACGCTCACCCGGGCCCGGCAGCAGCTGACACGCGTGCCTCGGCGGAGTGGCTCTGGCGCGGCCCAGGCAGGCCTGGCGTGGCAGGAAGCGCCACGGAGCTGCCAGAGGCCGGCTGATCCTAGCAGCCCCGCAGAGCGTTTCCGGAGCCGCGGGCGCCGCCAGGGGTACTGGAGAGCGAGGCCCCGCCCTTGAAAGGCCACGATTGGTCTGAACAGGGGGAGGGGCGGGAAAGGGGCGGGTTTGGGGGGGGCAGGGTTGGAGTAGGGAGGCGTGTCTGGCCAGACCGCTAAGGAGCAGCGCAAACTGGCTGGATTCTTGGGAAGAGGTGGGAGGAGTGGAATTAACATGTGAATGAAAGAATGAACGAACCTACAAATAGACTAACAGGCTACAGAGGGAACGAAGAGATGGAAAAGACCCCTCTCCTTTGGGCTTCTTCAGGATGGTAGTGGGAGTGGAGTGTCGAGAACAGAGGGTGAAGACAGAAAAGCCAGCACCTTACTGGAGGGGCCAAACCTTCTCACAGAGCTACCAAAGATGCTGTGAATCCTAGCTGTACCAGGCACTCCAAATACAGATGTGAGCAAAACCTGGCCTCATCCCTGCCCTAAGGGGGCATTTTATTCCTTAGCGCTCCTGTGATTTTATGTGTGTGTTTTGGTGCAGAGAACGCAATCAACAAGTAAATACTTGCATATATATATATATATATACCTCATATATATATATATATATATATATATCAGGTCATGCTCTGAAGAAAAAAGAACATGAATGATCCTTGGATCAGAGGTGCTACAAGGAAATGACAGCCAGTTTCACATGAATGTTTTTTGTTGGTCAACAAAAATCTATGAATCTGCTATTGCCCTGCACTGTGCTAAGCTCTGGGGATATAGGTCACTGCTTTCCTGAAGATTTTAGTTTAGTAAGGAAGCCGGTAGTAAATAAAGGTTGACACAAAACACCTAAGAAGAGTGATGAGAACTTTGAAGAGAATCAATCAGGGTGATTGATTTGGGAATGATGGGCGGGGGCTTCAGTGAGGCTAGGGCTGAGGCAGGACTTGGAGGACAAGAAGGACAGGACCCACTGAAGGACTCAGCCCTGGGAAGGTGAATAAAGACAGGAAGGCTTTGCAGGTAAAAGGAAGTGCAAATGCCCTCTGACAGAAATAACTCTGGAATATTCTAGAGTCAAAAAGGAAAAAGTGAAGCTGGAATGCAGTGAGCAAGGGGCAAAAGAGAGGTGCTGAAGGGGTGAAACCCAGCGGGGAAATGGGTTCTGAGGGTGGTGGGCTCAGTTTTTTCTCCCTTTTTTTTTTACTGATAGGCATTTAATGCAGTATTAGCAATAATGATCAAACCAACTTCTTAAATATCCTTGTAACAAATTTATCCACTAGGTAAGAACTTGTTTCTTTTCTCTCCACATTTTATTATGAAAATTTTGCAACATACAATTGAACACTTGAAAGAATTGCACCCATCTACCAATCTAATATTCCACAATTAGCATTATGCTAATCGAATGCATGATTGTCCTTATTTTACTGATTCAGTTCAAACTAAGTTGCCAACATTACTATACCTCACCCCTAAATGCTTTAGCATGCATCACATTAACTAGAGATCAATTATGTTTACTGTTCTTGTAAATTCTTTTGAGGCAAAATTTACGTACAGTGAAGTGCACAAATATTAAGGGCCCCATATATTGAAATTTGACAAATGTATACTCCAAACTCCTATCAAAATACAGAACATTATAAACACCCCAGAAATTTCCCTTCAGACCCTTTCCAGTTTCTATCACAATCCTACACAGAGGCAACCACTATTCTAATATATATATATTCTTTACCATAGATTATTTTTGCCTGTTTGAGCAATTACTAATCTATGTTAATGGAATCTATGTACTATTTTGTGTGTGGATTCTTGTATTTGGTGTGATGTTTATGAGATTTACCTATGTTGGTGAGTGTGTTATTTCTCCTTTCCTTTTATTGCTGAGTAGCATTCCATCGTCTGGATATATCAAAGTTTGTTTCTTCCTTCACTGGGTTGTTATCTGGACTTTTTCCTGTTTGGACTACGATAAATAGAGTGTGACTATTCCTGTACACATCTTTGTGTAGACATACACTTTCATTTTTCTTGGGTAAATCCCTAGGAGAAGAATTGCCACATCATAATTTAGTTATATGCTTTATAAGAAACTGTTAGAATGTATTCCAAAGTGGTTGGGACGTTTACCTTCCCACCAGAAATGTATGAGAGTTCTTTTTTTCCCCTAGCCTCATCAACATTTGGGACTGTCAGCCTTTGTTATTTCAGTTACCTCCCTAATAACTAATAATGTTGATTATGTTTTTGTAGCTATTTCTAGTTATGAGTGTTTAGAGGCTTTGCATGACTTGTGGGATAGATGAAAATCTTTCAAGCTTCACCAGATGATATATCACTGGGTGACTTTTGGTGCCGTTTACTAAGATAATGCTCCTCAGAACAGTAGGCTGGAAGAAAAATTCTTACTGCTGTTGTAGATTACTAGACATTAAGGGGATGTTATGGTATTAGTTATCTCTTGCTGTGTAACAAATTATCCTGGTGGCTTAGCTGAGAGATTGTGGCTTAGGGTCACTCATGAAGTAACAGTCAAACTGTCATCTAGGGCTTCAGTTTCTGAAGACTAGACTGGGGCTGAGAGGTGCAGCATGCTCCAAGCTCACTCACAAGACTGTTGGCAAGTAGCTCAGGTCTTTACTAAGTGGCCCAGAGTAGTGACACATGGAGGGGAGAGAGAGGATAGACCAGCGGGGAGGGGAAGGAAGAGGAAGAAGTGCGAAAGTGCAAGAAAGAGCACACAAGACACAAGCTGCATTCTTGTGTAACCCCCACTTGGAAGTCAGATCCCATGGATTCTGCCATGCTGTTTGTCAGAAGTGAGGCACTACATCTGGATTCCACTCAAGGGGAGACAAATTAAGCTACATCTTGAAAAAGTGGTATCAGGCTCAGCACCCATAGCATAGCGGTTACGGGGTCAGCCACATACATGGAGAATGGCAGTTTCGAACTCAGCCCCAGCCAGCTAAACAACAAAGACAACTGCACGGAAAAAATAGCCAGGCATTGTGTCGGGCACCTGTAGCCTGTAGTTCCAGCTACTTGGGAGGCTGAGGCAAGAGAATCACTTAAGCCCAAGAGTTTGAGGTTGCTGTGAGCTGTGACAGCACAACACTCTACTGAGGTCAACATAGTGAGACTCTGTCTCAAAAAAAAAAAAAAGCAGAAGTGCTATCAGAGAAGTCTGGACATATTCTTAAAATCATATTTTTTTGACACCTGTGGTAGCTCTGCTTTGGGTACCATGAGAGACTGGGGAGGAGGCAGTACTTGAAGCAAAGGCCACTTAGAGGGGTCTGGCAGCAGTCTAGGACCAAGGGATCATATTAAAACTTCAGTCAGGTTCTGCCTTCAGCAATGGTTCAGTAGGACCTCTAAGACCAGCATTCTTGCAGGTGGCAGATATGAACCCAGGATGAGATATTACATACAACACTTCCTGATGGCATGACAGACTGAGCAACAGAGGCAGAAACCATATGGAAGTTAACACTTGGAAGGAGAGACCAGCACTAAGTGAATTTCTCCATTGTCTGCATGTGAAGGTGGGCTGCAGAGGACTCCATGTGGATGGCTAAAACTTAGAGACCCATAGAGCAGACTTTGAGTAGAGGAAAAGCAGGAGGGGCAACCCCAGAGAGAAGAAAACCACACCTAAGGTGTCCCACATTCAGTATGTAAACTCCATCCTAATCTCTGGTTGACCCCATAGCTATGCATGCAAGGGGCAGACTTCAAGAATTGAACAGAGAGATTTCAGTTGGTGCCCAAAATAGAAGAAAAAGAGTTTGGATATTTCAGTTGTTACCCAATAGAGGAGAGATTTAGTTTGAGTTTAGCCAGATTAATTGTCTGCTAAAACAACAAACAACATAACACAACAACAATGCCTCTTTGGAGAGATACAATGAAAGCCAAGAGGCCGAATTCACTACAACTCGTTATTGACAATGTCTAGGATATAGTGTTAGATTACCCAAAGAAGCAAGAAAATGTCCTGGCACTCAAGAGAAAAAGCATTCAAGGGAAACTGACCTTAAGATGACTATGGTCAAGGACATAGAGCATGCACAGAATGGTTTTTATATTGATACATGTGCTTCTTCATTAAGACATAATATAGCAGTATTTAAAACTTCTCACGATGGCTCATGCCTGTAATCCTAGCACTCTTGAAGGCCTCTGTGGGTGGATTGCTTGATCTCAGGAGTTCAAGACCAGCCTGAGCAAGAGTGAGACTCCATCTCTACTAAAAATAGAAAAATTAGCAGGGCATTGTGGTAGGTGCCTGTAGTCCCAGGCACTCAGGAGGCTGGGGCAGGAGGATTGCTTGAACCCAGGAGTTTGAGGTTGCTGTGAGCTGGGATGCCACAGCACTCTACCCAGGGCACAGAGTAAGACTCTGTCTCAAAAAAAAAAAAAAAACGTTCTCTACCAACACCATAATTTGAAGTAATTTTATTTCTAGTAAATATTTCTAGATATCTGCAATAGTTGTTATGTGATATAAAAATGTTTATTTCTGTGGGTGACAAAATCACATGTACCACCAATACTATTGTGGTTTGTTGCCTGTGTTCATAATTGAAGGAAATGCTAAATTTCAGTTAGTTGATTTCTCTTCAGTAATACCAAAAACCAGCCTTGGCACATAGTAGATGCATAGTAAATATTTATTAAAAGAACACATCTTTGTTACAATCTTATGGTTGTGGGTTTAAAATTAGATTCCTTGTTTTTCACATCTATTAAAATAATGAACTGATTACAAGGGCTACTGTTATATTTGATAATTGCTGAGTACGTGCCAGACACTGTTTTCTAAACATTATCTCCTCTAGTTCTGACAACAATGCTAAAGTAGGTACTGCTATTTCTCCTGTTCTATGGCCATAGAGACAGCCACACAGAGGCTAAGGAGTCTCATCAGTGCCACACAGATGGCATTAGAACACGGATCTACCTGAGCCCAGAGCCTGTGTCCTTAAAGTATGAAGGTAAGACTTACTCTGGGCACCTCAGGCTTAGAGACTGGCCCTTACTTCCAACAACCCATCTTTGATCTCCTTCATTGACTACACCCCAGAACAACTCTATTTCATCTTTGTCTTCTTAGACTGTCTGTGGTGCCATCTGGAGGAGTCATCTAGCTTCACATAATGACCCAAAAGCTAACTGCCATCAGGTCTGAATTCCTAGGACCAACCTTTTCTGCTCTCCAAACCCCCATGTCCACCTGCCCATTGGGCACCCCTCTCTGACTTCTTCAAGTTCTTCTATGTCAATGCAAGGTTCACCTTCCCTTTGAGGACATTCCAATCCATTCCAGGCAGACTTTGATGTCCCCCCTGCACTTTGTACACATCTTATAACCACTACCCGAGTAAATCACATTACCCGATTTGTTTACAGGCCTGCCTTTCCTTACCATGCTGGCAGCTCCTTAAGAACAGGGACTATTGGGCGGCGCCTGTGGCTCAGTGGGTAGGGCACCGGCCCCATATTCTGAGAGTGGCGGGTTCAACCCCCGCCCCAGCCAAACTGCAACAAAAAGATAGCCAGACATTGTGGCGGGTGCCTGTGCTCCCAGCTACTCAGGAGGCTGAGGCAAGAGAATCACCTAAGCCCAGGAGTTGGAGGTTGCTGTGAGCTGTAACGCCACAGCACTCTACCGAGGGTGACAAAGTGAGACTCCATCTCTACAAAAACAAAAAAAAGGAACAGGGACTATTTCTGGGTGGTGCCTGTGGCTCAGTGGGTAGGGCACCAGCCCTATATACTGCGGGTTTGGACCCACCCCTGGCCAGCCAACCCCACCCACCCAACAAAAATAGCTGGGTGTTGTGTCGGGCGCCTGTAGTCCCAGCTACTTGTGGGGCTGAGGTAAGAGAATTGCTTAAGCTGAAGAGTTGGAGGTTGCTATGAGCTATGACACCACAGCACTCTACTGAGGGTGACAGAGTGAGGCTTTGTCTCAAAAAAAAAAAAAAAACAAAAAAAGAACAGGGACTATTTCTAATTTGTCTCTATGTTCCTAAGACTTAGAATAATGTTTGACAGAGTAGGTCCCCTGCAGATGCTTGTTGAATGGGTAATGCTTGAACAAATGAATAAATGAATTATATGCAATGGCCCTACTTAACACTTTGGCTATTGTGTTTAGTATGACTTACACATAACTAAATGTGTGGTGTAGAACTGTAAATATTAAGTGTAACATGTAAAAATATAAAACGTAGTAGTGTAAAAATGGGAATGTTTAATGGGGTGGCACCTGTGGCTCAAAGGAGTAGGGCGCTGGCTCCATATGCCAGAGGTGGTGGGTTCAAACCCAGCCCCGGTCAAAAATTGCAAAAAAAAAAAAAAATAAATGTGAATGTTTAAAACATGACCCAAGGGAATAGTTATTTTTTTTAAATAGGAAATTTTATTAGAGGAAAGGAAATTATTGAAAAGAATCAGCTATAAAATCTTGAACTGAAAAGCATAATATCTAAAGTAAAAAATCCACTGGATATTTTTAATAACAGATTGCAGATGACAGAAGAGTCCCAAACTTGAAGATAGATCAATAGAAATGACCCGTTCTAATAAACCAAGAGGAACAACAATAAAACAAAAAAAAACTTCAGCTATCCATGGGATAATATAGAAAGGTCAAACATGGATGGAGAAAGTGGGGAAGAAAAACTATCTGAAGAAATAATGGCCAAAAATTTCCAAAATTGGGGAAAATATATAATTTACAGAGTACATGAAGCTAAGTGAGCTGAAAAGATGAGAAATAGGAAGGAAAACAAGATGTAGGTGTGCTGTAGTCAAACTCCTGAAAACAAAGGATGATTAGAAAAATCTTGAAAGCAGCAGGAAAAAAGGGAACATCATATATTCAGGAGCACATTAGCAAAAGTTCCCACTGAATTCCCATCAGAACCAGTGGAAGGGGTTCAGGGCACATGGGAGCAAGATGGCAATTCCAGGCAGGCAGTATGGTCTTATTTTGCCAAAGAAAACACAGCAGTTGCACCCTGTTTTGCAAAAGCCATCAGTGTTTGGAAATGATTGTGATGATGATGATGAGTAGGATAACAACATTAGAAGAACCCAAATTATGAAGATGGGATAAGATCTCCATGAGTGAAAGTCTTCAGAGGGAAGCTGCTAAGAAACAGTCCACAAAACAGAGCAAACCGGAAATGCAGAAGGCCCTTGTAGAAGATTCCACTGTGTATGAATATGAATATTTATGATGAGATGCAGAAAAAAAGGAGGAAAGGAACTCCAAGTTACTTTTAGAGAAAGATCGAAAGCCCAAGTACATTCCCAACTTACTAAAGCAGTGGAAATTAGAAAAAAGGAACAGGAAAAAGAATGGAAAAGAAAATACAGAGAGAGTGAGAAATGGAAAAGGGCGAATTTGATGATGAAGAGGCATTTGTGACATCAGCTTATAAGAAAAAACCTGCTAGAGATGAAGAAGAAGAAAGAGAGAAGAGGGTCGCTGCACTAGAAGCCCATTGGGATATAACAAAGCAGGAAGATCTCAGTGGATTTTATAGGCTCCTGTTAAATCAGGCAGTTGGTGAAGAGGAAGTACCTAAGTGCAGTTTTCGTGAAGCCAGGTCTGGGATAAAGGTAGAGAAATCAAGGGGTTACACTGATGAAGTAAATTCAAAGAACATAATACCACAGGAGAAATGCATTCTGGAAACTGGTTTGAAAGTAGAGGAAAACCCAGATGCAGACAGTGACTTTGATGCTAAGAGCTGTGAGGATAGTGAAATGGAAGAAAGTAAATGGAACTGCAGATGAGAAAATATCACAGAGACCTCAAAGAATGACTCCAAGCATCATGGGACTCAGAGCCACTCACGGTCATGTAGTAAAGAAAGAGGGCACGGTGCCAAATGCCGCACAAACAATTCCAAGTCAAGAGGACATGAGCAAAGGCAGGAATGGCACCAAGAGAGGCAGTCCAGAGACTAGGAGAACCATTACACTGACCATGATTCCCAGAAAGAGAAGGATTCTCATAGGCACAGAGAGGCGAGAAACAGAGATTCCCACTGGAAGAGGCATGAACAAGAAGATGAACTGAGGGCAAGAGACCAAAGAGAAAGAAGTGACAAAGAATGGAAAAGGGATAAAGATGGGAAGAAATGCTCCTCAAGAGAACAAGAAAGAAATAGACAACGAAATGCTCATAACTGACACAGTGAGAGAGGAGAGACGGAAGAGAAAAGCAGAGAAAAGGAAGAATACATGAAAAGGAGGAGGGAAAGATATGAAAATAATGATAAATACAGAGATAGAGAAAAACAAGAAGTAAGTGTTCAATCTTCAGAAAAAAATCGAGCCAGAAAGGAAAGCAGACCCAATTCTAGAGCAAAGGATAAATTATCACAACCAGGAAAAATCCAGCAAAAAAAAAAAAAAAAAAAAAAAATCCAGCAAAATGAGAAACATGGAAAAGGACAAAGAAAGAAACCAAGAGAAACCCTCTAGATGTGAAACATCCCCAGATCAAAACACAGGCTCAGGAGGAAAGCAAGAGAAGGGCAAAGAATGAGAGAGACCACCTGAGGCGGTGAGCAAGTTTGCAAAGCCAAACAATGAAGAAACTGTAATGTCAGCTAGAGACCGGTACTCAGCCAGGCAAATGGCATGCGTTAGCACAAAGACCTATACTGAGAAAGAAGAGGTTTGAGGTTTGCCCCAAGGGAGAGATCTCTGGAAGCACATAAAACTGTCACTCCTGGAACTTGCTGCGTTAAAGCATGAAGGGAGTGTAACAACAGTGGATGGGTGTATGTTTTTAAATATATTTCTAAAATCAGAAGTCTTTTATCTTAAATGTTTGGCTGAATTTATATGTAATATTTACTTATCAATGCCACATTCTCAGTTGTATTCAAGAACCTTGAGTGTGCTAAATCCCTTGTAGGTACTTAACTGAGGAAAATCGGCTCCACTACAACCATTTAAACATAATTTAAATAACTATTCTAATAATGTTCATTTTATTACAAGGAGCTGTTTCGTTTTATAAATATTGTATTTCAGATAAAAATATGTATATTTGAACAATAAAGTAGAGAATATTGTGATGTTCTATGTTCTGAAATTTGTATTAAAGTGTAAAATGTGGTCATACATGCTGTCTAAAGTTTTATCCCACAGCGTAGTTGCTTAAATAAAAATAAAAATAGTGATATGCTTATACATTTTTTAAAAAAGAAACACTGGAAGGCAATAGAAAGGAAGCAATATCTTAAAGTGCTAAAAGAAAAAGAACAAACAAACTTTCAATACAGAGCTCTATATTCAGGGAAAATATCTTTCAAGGATGCAGATGAAATAAGTATATTTTGAGATACATGAAAGGTAAGAGAATTTATCAACAAATCTTCACTGAAAGAAATGCTAAAGGATGTCTTTCTATCTGGAGAAAAATGATAGTAGAGGGAAGCCTTAATCTTTGGGTAGAAATGAAGAACACCACAAATGGTAAATGTGTGGGTAAATATGAACAAGTAGTTATTTTCTCTTTTTTTTTTTAAAAAGTAAAAATTTTAGTATTATCTAGTAGGGTTTGGCAACTATAGCATAAAGGATGTGGTGGGAGGGAAATGGATGCATATGGTGGGGAGTTTTTTGCATTTATGTATAATATCAACTTTATTTTATTATTTATTTACTTATTTTTATTAAGTCATAAACACATAGATCATGTATACATTAATGCATTTATGGGGTACAATGTGCTGATTTTAAATACAATTTGGGATGCTTACATCAAACTAGTTAATGTAGCCTTCACCTCATTTACTTAATTATTGATATTTATACTCTATTCTTAATAAATTTGACATTGCACTATGTACCATAAATGTGGTCCCTCCATTTACCTTCGCTTCATCAAACCTCTCCCCTCTCCTCCCAGTCCTCTCCTCTTCCCTCCTTCATCCTGGGCTACAGTTGTGATTTATCTTTCATATGAAAGTATAAGTAATTAGAAATTGATTTCATAATAGTGCTGAGTACCTTGGATACTTTTTCTTCCATTCTTGAGATACTTTACTAAGTAGAATATGTTCCTCCATGTAAACTAAAAGAGGTAAAGTCTCCATCTTTTTTTAAAGCTGCATATTACTTCATGGTGTACATATACCACAATTTATTAATCCATTCATGGGTCAATGGGCACTTGGGCTTCTTCCATGACTTGGCTATTATGAATTGAGCTGCAATCTGGTGCAAATATCTTCACGCTAATGTGTTTCTTTTGGAAGAAGTTTGGAGAATACTCAGGGATCTAAAAGTAGATCCCTGCTGTTCCATCCTGCAATTCCTCCACTACATGTATATCCAAAAGACCAAAAATCACTTTATGACAATATTAACTTTATATAGACTGTGAAAAGTTAAGGATATATATTGTAATCTCTACAGCAACCACTACAGGTCAATCCAAGGAGGTATAGGTAAAATGATAGCAAGTAAATTAGAACTGAATCCTAAAAAACATTAGATTAATCCAGGCAGGAAAGGAGAAACATGGGAACAAAATCAAATGGGTCAGATAGTAAAAGGATATACCAAAATCTAAGCATATCAAACATTACATTCAGTGTAAATGGGCTGAACACTCCAGTTAGAAGTCAGAGAATATCAGAATGGGTAAAAGGGCAAGGATTTTGCTGTCTACAAGGGATACAATTTAAATATAGAGAGACCCACATGGGTTGATAGAGGATGCAAAAATACCACTGTGCAAGTAGGTAAACATAAGCAAGTAGGAATGCGTATGTTAATAGCAGACAAAGTAGAGTTAAATGCAAAGGGTATCGCTTTAGATGAAAGTTAATAATTATATAAGGGTCAGTTAATCAGAAAAACATAACATTCATAAATATGATTGCATTCAATAACAAAGTTTCAAAATATATGAGACAAAAATCAACAAAATAAAGGGAGGGACAGACATTTTCACAATTATAGCTGGAGATTTTCACATCCATGTCTCAGCAATTGACACAACTAGTCAAGAAGTCAGTAAATATATAAGATTTATATGACATTATCAACCACTTTTACTTCATTGATATTTATGGGACACTTTACTCAACACCTGCAGAATATAGATTTTTTACAAGGGCACTGTGTCCGTTCACCTAGATAGATCAAATAATGGGCCATAAAACAAGTCTCAACATATGTAAAAGGATTGAAATATTATATAATAATGTCTGAGTATACAATAGAATTCCATTAGAAATTAATAACAGTGATATATCTCCAAATCTTTGGAAATTCAACATTACACTTCTTTAAAAAAAAAAAACAACTATGGGCCAAAGAACATATCACAAAAGAACTTAGAAAATATTTCAGACAGAATAGTAATAAAATAAAACTCATAAAAATCAGTGGATCAAACAAAACAAAACAAAACAATAATCCAGGCCCAGATGAGCTCACGGGTGAACTCCAGAAAATATTAAGGAACTTCATTTCCCTCCCACCACATTCTTTACACTATAGTTGACAAACCCTAGTATATTCTAAAAACATCCAATTTTACACAGCACTTTCAGAAAATAGAGGAGTGGGGAACAATTTCCAATTCATTTTATGAGGACAATACCAACCTAGTGCTAAATCTTGATTAAAAGATGATATACATGAAGAAAATTACAGAAAAATATTCTGCATAAATAGTGTAGAAAAACTATTAGCAAATCATGTCCAGCAATATTTAAAAAGGAAAGTATTTTATCGCCCACTTGCAGATGAGGGGCATACATGTCCAGTGACCCATGTAGGCCACTCAACTGTTAGGTGACTCTGTATTTGTCTGCCCCAAAGCCCACAGCATTCCTGTGCAATGGGGGCCCAGAAGGTGCTGGGGGCTGGCTTGACAGCACAGGGCACTGTGACCGGAAACACAGACAGCCTGGGTATGTCGTGAAGAATCCAGGCAAGCGTGATGAGGGCAGGCTGTGAGGGCAGAGTGACACTGGGGAAATGGTCTTAGGATCTCCTGCCCCTGATTTTCGGTCCCAGCCCCACAGATTTGCCCCAATTGTTGACAGCGGCCCTTCTGTTGGTGGAAGGCCAATGGTTGTGCCTGTTGCTTCCGGAGGCCCCAAACCCGGCCACATCAGGCCTTGAGGATGACACAGGTCCTGTTGCCATGGCGACATGATCTACACCCCCACCCCACCCCCCGCCCCGAGTCTGGCCATTTCCCTCCCACAAACAATCCGAGATCTTCCTCCCTCATCTACCCCAGGCTTCTGGGGGACACGGGAAGCCCACGTGGCCTTAGCACTGAGGGCCAGGAGACCCTCGACTGCGCAGCCCTTGGCGGGCAGAGGCGCGTTCCTGCACCCTCCTGCCGCAGGGCTTGGAGGCGGTTCGTCCCTGCGGGTGGTGCAGCGTCCGCAGAGTCGGAGAAAGTGCGCGGGCAGCCGGGCTTTGCTCAGGTGGGAACCCGGAGTGGCTGCGGCTCCCAGGCAGGTGGTGGGGGCGAGAGGGGTCGGAGTCCCAGGGCGGTGGGGGGTGGGAGTAAGTGCGGGCCTGCGGTAGAGGTCTGGGCGGGGAGGGCTCCTGCCGCAGTGGTCCAGAGCAGGGGACAGGCCACTGGCACCGGCTGTAGGGGTAGGAAGGCGACCTCAGACTGTGGTTTCAGAGACGAAGGGGGGGGCACGCTTCTCCTGTCGGATCAGGGGCGTCTTGCAAGGCAAAAGGGTTCTTTCCGTTGTGGAGGGGAGGGGTACAGTGATGGGCTCTGAGCCGCAGGGGTGGGGGGGGGCAGGGGCTGTAACACTGGGCAAGGGAGATGCTTCAGGTCCCCGCTGTGGGGGGTGGTTGGCCTCCACGGGTCAGTGGCGCTGAGCTGTGTGACACCAATGTCCCTCTCTCCCCTTGGCACTCACAGGTTGCGGCGGAGACTGCGACAGTCAGCGCACACTCCGTCCCATCAATTCCCTCCCCGTCCTTAGCGATGGCGCTGGCAATGCTGCAGGACTGGTGCGGCTGGATGGGCGCGAATGCGCAGCGCGCCCTGCTCATCCTGGGCATCCCTGACGACTGCCAGGAAGATGAATTCCGGGCGGCCCTGCATGCTGCGCTGTGGCCGCTGGGCAGGCACCGAGTGCTCAGCAAGGTCTTCAGAAAGGAGCTGGGGGACTGGGCCGCCTTGGTGGAGTTTGCTGACGGTTTAAACCGACGTTTGATCCCCCGACAGATACCAGGCAAGGGGGGGCCCTGGACTGTGATCTTCCTGCCCCAGGCCCCTGATACTGACTTACAGGACAGACTGAGTTTTCCTGCACAGCCCCAGGGTCAAGCAGTGGCCAGACATGCAGGTGGGGCAGGAGCTGCAGGAGCTGCAGGAGAGGAAGGAGCAGGAGCCCCAGGTGAGGAAGGAGCCTCAGGTCAGGAAGGCGCTACAGTTGAGGAAGGAGCAGGAGCAGATGAGGCAGGAGTCACAGGTGGGCAAGGAGCCCCAGGTAAGGCAGGAGCCACAGGTGAGGCAGGAGCCACAGGTGAGGCAGGAGGTGCAAGTGAAGAAGGAGCAGGTGAAGCAGGAGCCTTGAATGTGGCAGGAGCTGCAGGGGAGGAAGAAGCAGGTGTGACAGGAGCCACAGGTGAGGCAGGGGCTGCAGGTGAGGCAGGAGTCCCAGATGAGGCAGGGGCTGCAGGTGGAGAGGAAGCTGTAGGTGAGGTGGGGGCTGCAGGCGAAGAAGAAGGAGCAGGTGAGGCAGGAGTCTTGAATGTGGCAGGAGCTGCAGGGGAGGAAGAAGCAGGTGTGACAGAAACTACAGGTGAGGCAGGAGCCCCAGATGAGGCAGGGGCTGCAGGTGAGGGAGGGGCTGCAGGTGAGGTGGAGGCTGCAGGTGGAGAGGAAGCTGCAGGTGAGGTGGGGACTGCAGGTGAGGCGGCGGCTGCAGGTGGAGC